CCTCAATCAGATGAACAACGCGAAACAATGCACATACTCTTGCCTTCCTCACGTCTCCGCTTAGCAGCAAGCTTCTTTAGCCTAGCCTCTCGCGCCCTCTTTTTGGCAAGAAGCTTGGATGGACTATCTGAAGACCCGCATCTACGGGCTTTCAGCAGTTTCTGCCTTCTGCGGAATTCCTCCGGTTTGGGGTACCTCAAGTACCCAAGAGGTAACTCTTCTTTCCTACCTGTGACAGGATTAACCCGCACCTCCCTGTACACCCTATCCCACGAATCGATAGGTGTATGAACACGGATTCGGGTTCCTCGACGCACACCTTTACCGGTTTCTTCTGTGCAACGGCGTTGGTATGCTACTTTGGCTGCAACAAAAAGAGGAGGCGTAATTCACAATGACTTCTTTAAAAAGCGGTACCATGAAGTGGGTGAGAATTACTCACGCAGAGGAATGAAGATAGGATCGGAGGGTTCAGTCCATCCCAGGAGCATATAGTGCAAAGCCTTGCTGAGTGCATCCATGTCGTATTCCATCCCTTCTTCTGGAGGGGGCAACCATTGCGACTGATTCACCATTGAGGGGTCAATTGCACAAGTCCTTTCTAAAGGTTCAGAATGCTTTGGTAAGGCTAAATCTAAATTATAAAATTCAGATCATCATTAGTAAGAAAGTCTAAATGTCAGATGACACGATATTGAATACGATTTCTTTGATAAAATAGACAAAAAAGCATTGTTTCAGGTTCAAATGGTCTTGGCTCAGACACAAAGACCACAACGACGAAATGAAATGGAAATCCAGTGTGTAAGAACGTGAGACAGTATTTATTCATAGTTCACATAATGCACCGGGTCTCGTTCTTTTAACAACAACAACAACTAGAACAACTTCAAAACTGCATAAATTGGTGAAATAATTTCAAACTTTAAGAAATTTCAACAATGACATCAATCATCATCAAATCGGCACTCTTATCAAGACTAAAATTACTTGAAATTTTACGGATTAATTAAGGCAAAAATTGACTTAAGATTCTATAAGACAAAATTTATTCTTTCGAGAGGACATAAATTAGCATTATGGGTGGTAATATCGATAGACAGCGGCATATCACCGCCTAGTACATCAATTATAAAAAAATAAAGTTTCATCGATTAGATCAATGATGAGTCCATGACCAGTACAAATTCGACAGACATCACGTAGTAACGGTCCTGGATAAAGTCTTATCATATCAGGCGAGGCCATGTACTGTCCCCTCCCCCCTATCAACCTGATCAGTATGACAGCTGCCTCGGGTACCCAAACGAAACACTTATCGGTCGAAAGAGTGGATTGAACAAGGCGGACTCTTATTCTAATAAGAGTCTAATCAAGTTGCTGCCATCTCAAACTTAATTTAATGGGCTCCGTTATCTCGAATTATTCACTTATCGTCTGCATATTTGCGAACGATTAACAGCGTCAGATTTTGGAAAAGCACATTCAGTGAAAATAAGTTCAAAAGAACAAGTCGATAAACTCACCGCACGAGGTACGATTGACGTCAAACTCCGAACCATTTCCCACAAGGAGGGTAAGCTACGAATGTATGTAATCAGACATAAGTTTAACAATTATTCATTTTAGTTACAAAAAAGAGTAAAGTCCAACGTACTGTAGCTCTAAATTGTTCGGGTGTGAGTGTCTGACCTCCGGTAACCAAATTCTCCCCTGAGACACAGAAGCCATTTAACAATGAGTAGGAATTGCTTCCGACATCAGTTAGAACACAAGTAAGTGAAAGACTTACCGAAAGTTTTTTCGGTAGCGGCCACTAAGTCGTCAGGATCAGTTGAGAGCCAAAGGCTTCCATCTTTCCAAGACATTATGGTTTCAAGGGCTAAAATTACATTTCGACGTTAGGAAACAGGGACATTTGCAGTCATATAGAAAAAAAGGCAGTGTTAAGTTATTTAGTGATGACAGCTGCAAAGAATGACTTTTGCTGGAATAGTGTACTTAATGAATCTAATCGAAGCCAAAGGAAACCTCCTGTTGAAGCAAGTATTAACAACGCTAATTCTCAATATCTTGAATTCTGATTTGGAAACAATTTGAGTCCAATATGCTTGGTTTTGGGAACGAGGAGAATAACCAACTCGAAGTCACATGTGCGTAGCATATTTATATATATTAATGTCCTCTCATTATCACGACTGCCTAGGTAGAAGAATACAGCATGCGGACACATTAAATTTACTCAAGTGACAATCGTTCTCTTTACAAGATGAGGTTTGAATGTTTGGGCTATGAAATATTATAGAATATCAAAAAAAACGACCATTCTACTGAACATGAAACACTAACGGCATAATTTTAATGGAAAGTAAAAAAAACGAAAGTAATTTCAAACTGTCATTCTTGGTAGAGGATTAACGAATCAGAAACGTTCCCTTCCAAATGGCGGACTCATTTTCTGTCTCAAAGCTTTTGACTATCAATAACTAGTACGAAATTGATCCTTTGATAAGAGCTTAAGCCCTGAACTCTCTGATTTAATAGACAACCATGTTAGGTGCTATTTTATTATGTTCATGCTGATCATCAAAAGCATAACAGTAAGTTATTCTTACCTAGTGGAGTAAGAGAGGGGTGGGCACCTCTCGACTTGGCTGGTTCGTTGACTTCGAGCTGTGTCAACTCTAGTCTCGTTTTTTGAGGAAATTCGGGAGACCCAACCATTTCCAAAGCTAGAATACGATTTAAATTAATTGGAGAGAAAACAGGAAATAAAGGTGAATTTCAACAAAAAGATAGACAATAAAGCTTACATTTATCTATGAAGGTATCGTTTAAATTGAGACCAGATGAACGGAACGGAATCGGAGACAAATCATCAAGAGCCATTGGAGGACAGTTCCGTTCATTGCTTGAAGGATGTGGCGAGTGGGGCAGACTTGGAGATGCGTCATTAATACCTAATGATACACGACGCCATTTATCCTCTGAATGCTCCTCGAACACCTCTGAAAAAAATTTTAAAAACAGGCGGAGACAAAAAATTTGAAGGCTAGAAGATGCTAAGCTAACACCTCAGTAAACATTCAGCCAATACATATCAACCATTGGAAAATGATGCCAAATCTAAATTCATTTAAATCAATGAACCTATCCTCCAATTATCTTGAAATGAAACAGAAACAGAATTACTCTCTGAGAAGGCATTACGGACAAATTGGTCCAAACTAGGATAAAAACTCAGCACACAGCAAAAAGCAGAGGTATCTATGGTGCAACACAGCTTCAACGATTCCTGGAAATACTTTCCTTCAACTAAATTAATATTTCCTTGAAAACGAAGGTTACAGCATTTTGCTATTTAATAGAACACAATGATGACGTTGATGACCACTAGGGGAGAGTAAGCTTACCAGCCAAAGGCGCAAACTGAACGCTTCGACGACTCTTACTCCGACCGGTTGATTTACTAGTAGGAGTCTTACAAGGAGACCGTTCTTCAGACACCTGTGGCCCCATTAGCATGTCTTGCAGCACAGTAACATTGACATTTTCTTCACAGAGCGTGAGGTCTTCAGGTACATGAATTGAAGGTGCTGGATTCACAGAGCCAGTCTTAGTCTGTAGGAAAAATGGAATACACACTATGGTCATGCATACCTATCACTCTCAGAAAAGAGATTGAGAACAAACGAGCGTACCGGAATAAGCTCCTGATCGACACTTACATCATTTGCAGAAATGTCCATAACTGAAATTAACAATCGAAATAGGGTCAAGGCCAATAAAAATGGATGTTTTAAGAAAAAGAAGCCCAATTTACGTCTCATTTCCATCTCACGAATCTCCTCTTGGGTTATCATTTTTCGTTGTGTGCCACATGAAGTTGTAGATGACGTTGTATCACCAGTACGAGCAGTAGTACGTCGCGAAATTTGACTGTGAGCTGCAAGTCCCAAGAAGGAAAATTTATGTTTGATTTCAGTAAAATGCACAAATTCTTGACTGTTATTAAAAAATGTGCACGATTTCGAAACATTTATTTGGTAAATAAACTGCTTGTAATATTGAAAATACGGGTTGGGGGGGATAGACTTACCTCCTAGTGGTGCACCCTGGGCAACGTATAATCATACGACAAAAAGTCCATTAATCGACAGTTGACTTCTCACTTCCAGCAACCACCACCCCCACTGCATGTCATATTCAACCCCTACCAGAGTACTCATCTTAACCTTTCCGAGCCTTTGTGTCTGTCTGCCTGTCTCTTTTACATCTGTGAATCACTCTTCCATCCCCCCCTCTCGACTTTATGTGACCTTGCTGTTCCTCCTCGCTGTGAAGCCTGAAATCAGCGAAAGGGCTAATGATAACTATCAAAACGCCTGTCATTTGTTATAAATATTGAAAATATTTTCGAAAAAAAGTAAAACAATGGATACAGAATTCGAGGCAAAACTCGTGACATTTCGTCTGCCTCACTTCGAATTTATTCCGCTAGTTTACCCACTTTAAGCATATTCAGCTCATTATTACTAAATTAACGGGGTAAACCGCCCCGATTAAATCAGCTGATCTACAGCGAATACGAGGCCGCCCACAACTCTTCAGCATTAGAACTCCACAGTGGTATACAGTTATTATGAAATGAAAGCAATAATTCAACCACTTAACGGCTTCTTGTGAGATCAGAATTTGTGAAGAGCTGGCTTTCTTCGGATTGACACTTATAATAAGAAGGCAACACTCAAATCAACTTTACTTTTTGTTACGCAAACCGACACCCATTAAAATGTGAAGCTGTAATGAAAAGGCAGAAGTTGAATGGGAAATTTCAACGAGCAAACTCGTAAATTAATAACGGCAAAACATAACCCCACTCAAAATTAAAACAAAAACGTTTTTACCTCTCCGTATGTTTATATAATTTTCTTTGAAGAAAAATATATATCAAAATATTAGGTTTCTCCAAATGATTATCCGTTGTAATGGCACAAAATGGTAAACACTTGATACAACTTAATGCACTTTTACAATAACGGATATACTTGTATGAGAAAACATTGTAAACGCGTGGTAGCTAATTCTCACTAAGAGTACATAGTTATTGACAATAAATTAAGTTAAGGAACTATTACAAAAAGCTTAATGAGGAAAAGGGATGTATTTTGATGCTTCTCTAGAAGACAGTCCTCATACTGACCAAAATTAATTGATCCAGTTGGACACATCCATACCACAGAATGGCAGGCGTGCCTGAAGTACAGAGCGGCCTCTTATTCCATGCTAGTTTTTTTTCTAAGCAAAAGCATACTTCTTTGCCTGAACCAACTGCTACGAGAGAGAGCCAAATTGAATGTAAGCCCTCCTTTTCCCAATACTTATAGCTTGGCCAACATCCAACGGTACAATATGGTATCAACAATTGCATAAAGCCCCATTTCAGTGTCAATGCTACAAGCTTGACCCATACGACGCTTACATGAATTCCAGTATTTCCTCTGATTTGAATTTGTTTACTCTGTGAGAGTTTCAGTTTATTCAATAAAATTTTAACCGCACTTATTTGAATGTCTATATGGGTGTAGTAAACGCTGACAGGACTTACTGCAAGAATTCTTTGACTTGGTTTCTCCAAGGTGCACACAAGAAATTGACGGACAAGTATACCCGATAGAGCCTGATCGACGTAAAGGCGAAGGCCAGACACGACGTGGAGACACAGACAATGGCACCAGGAAGTCTCCACTCGCCCCACCTAAAAAAGAGGAAGCGAGAGAAAGGTAAATCAAGTTTTCAACACCCTCTAGGGATGCTACTCTTGGAGGACGTCTGATATGAACGATTTGATGGAGATAGGACACACTTTCTGGTGTTGCAAAATGGTGTTAAATGAAAAAACCCACAATAACGTCAGTTGAATCACTTTAAGAACAAAGTCAAACCTGATAGAGAATTGCTCATTCTTTTCGATCTTGCTCTTTTTCTCAAAGAGGAAGCGGGTTCTTCAACAGCATTACTGTTGGAACTCATTGGGGTGGTGGGAGAACGAGATGCCCTCTTACGACTTTTAGTCTAAACAGGAAGACAACCAAATACAGAAAGAGCATTATGAGCAAAAACTAGAGTGCCAGGGGATTTTTCTTACTCTTGATTGTCTAGTCACACTGAGAGAATCTATAAGAGAAGGGTAACAATATTAAGCAAACACGTTATTCACAATGATAAGCATATAATTTAAAATATAAGAAAGCGCTGTTCTATACAGATATCGGGTATTATTGAGGCCCTCATAATAAGCTCTTAGGAATTATGATTGCATTTGAGTTAACTGAGTTGACATAGTTTGAGTCACAAAGTCATAATCAAATCAAGCAGAACATTTGCGAGTTTATGCCTAAAAAAATTCTCATCATCATGAGGAGTATCTAAAGAGCCGGAAAAGTTGCCAGAATACATTTTATTGCTATGTTTCCTACCAGAAATGAATAATATGCCACAAGAGAATAAAGAAACAGACGCGACTCCACTTCTTCACACAACATCGCAATTGGTTAGGCTATTGAAACATCCACTGTTACTCGGATGCGAAACGAGTCAGATGCTTAACGATTAGTGAACACATATTTTGGACCTCCATAAATCCTCACAATGCTTTCCATATGCGAATTTTTGATACAGCATATAGTATCAAACAAGTTAATTCTAAAGTGCAAAGTTTTGTTACTGTGCTCAAAGAATAGATACTTAGATACTAATCTTTCTTAATTGGATACTGTGTTATTCGGGTTCTCAATGTCGGACCACATGATAAACACTTCATGAAATATGGAAACTTGAGTATGATTGAATTCCCCTTAGCATCAAGTGCCTAGTACTATTGACAAAACAGTTGAATTGATATAATAAAGATCCGCGAAAACAAGATAAGACATTTTCCATCAGGGATCGTCGGAATCCTTTGAGTATATTTTTCTTAATGCATTGCAGGTTGGGGAAGGTGGGGGGTAAATACTTTAATAACCAAGTACTATGAGAATCTTATTAAGTAGTCGGATATACCCATCATATTCCCCGCAATAAAGCATTAAAAAAGACGCCCAAAAGTAGAAAAAAAGTAACAAACCTTCAATTTCCATTGCTACTGGCGAGTCTTCTCCACTTTTTCCCATTGGAACAGGCAGTCGAGAATGACTTTGGAGATCTACATAGAGACCAAGATCATCAGTAACAGTTTATTTTGGTATTTAGAAAGAACTAGTTTCAGTTATCAGAGATGACCATATCAAAATCAAGAAAAAATCTAACAATAACTATACTAAAAAATTCAAACGGGAGTATTCTGAATAATAAGCTTTATAGATAAATGGTTAGGATGGTTATGCGAATCAGAATTTTGGCTTCTGTTTACTGAAAAAAATTAAACAGGCACTGGTATCAAAGCAAAGCAACGAGAATACAGGTTAGGTGCATATATTTTACAGCGAGTGAAATGTATATACATAGGAAATGATAACGCAGACTCACTTTCTATTTCCATTGTATGAGTAGAAATGCCAGAAGTCTGTTGCTCCATTGAAAGTTGGTCAGAAACGGGGGTCTTTGGAACTAGATCGAAACATATCATAGAAAAATTAATTCATCACTGTAGGTACACGTTTCGTACTAATATACTCAACGAACGAAAGCATTTAAGAATATGGTTTTGATAAAAAAAACTACCTTGAGTTGAATCCACAATTACTTCCACGATTTCATTGTATTCTGTTTGCAAGGTCAACTCTCTGGATATGTGCGAATTTTGAAGATCATTTGAAGTTGCAGAAATAATAGATTTATCTATAGTCGCTTCTTGTGGTAAGGATTCACGACCAGGCATAGACGTCTTAACAGTGCCACGATCATCTAAAATTATTATAAACCAAACTTCAAGAGCAAGAAATTATCTCAATGGTAGCGTACAAGACAGTGAATTCGACGATTGAAATTAAATAGAAAACCTCTATAAAGCGGAATGTTAAATCGCAACAGTCAATAAGAGTGGAAGTGTAGGCAAATACTCAAGTGACGCATGAAATTAATTTTTATATATTTGACCTACATTCCACTTTATAGCTTCTCTTTCAAAATTGCATTAATCCAATACACCACACACAGTCCAAAACGATGGCTTCCCCATCCTCGCCCCCTCAGTGCACGTCAATGAGTGCCGAGGAAGTGTCTTATTCGAAAGCAAGTAGGAGGTTTGTTTCTATACAAATTGAAACTAAGAAAGCCCATGTGCCTTGAAAACCCTACTACTCACATCAATTTTTGTTTTTATTTTGGAGACTAAGTAATATTTCAATAAAATCGTACATGATCACAAAAAAATATGCTAACACGCAAAAATACTATTAAATTGATACTTCATTACTGTCTGCATCGCATTTAGGGCAATAAGTGATACAAGTTTGCATTAGGAAAGAGTATTAAGATCAAAAAACCTATGCTTGATTTCTGTCCAGCAGCCGACGCGACGCTAATTTCAAATGTGGTTTCGTTTGCTGTAGCATTTCTCAAGTCAACGAGAGTCCGACGCGAACGAAGAGCCCTACTCTTGGCCGGCTGCTGATGGGACGTCACGATAAGGGATTCTAGAAAACGAAATATCAAAGCTATTACAAAATGTCGTACAGCTTTGCCGACATCTCAGGCTTTCTTACAAGTTGTTTCAGTCATTGGTAAATATTCAATCACACATTCTACATAAACCCAATATCATATTTTGGAATACAGTTAACGAAAGCGAAGAAATGGCAGAACAATGGTAGGCATGAAATGAAAGGATCAAGCAAACCGACACGGGATGATATAACCTTTCACCTAAGAGAACCTGCAGTTAAGACCAATTGGCTTGCTTATTACACTCCGTTAGCAACGTTACCATGAATACAAAGCCAAAGACTTCTTCAAAACTTCGGAGCTAAGCTTAAAAACGCTTGTACTTTTGGGCGGCCATGATATACCCGGCCAGACTTAGGGACTGTAAACCCTAATATGTTAAGGTGCCTACACAAACTCGACATAAAAGATAAATATAGAACGAAAAGCGATATGTGGAAAGAATTGGCAAGTCGGATATAAAAGCATGACTAACTCAAAATCACTACAAACCATTTGCAATTTCTGGTTCAGCTGAAGGATTAGCAGGCTCTGCAGTAGAGGCGTCACAATACAAAGAAACAGATTGAGCTGCCAGATATGGAAAATAAAGAACATTAGTACAGAGATTAACTTCAAATTGAAGGAAAAAAACTAATTACATACCTTGTGGAGCAGGTTGGCTGATATTTAGTACCTTATCCGTCGATTCAACAGGTTGATCTTCCTCTACAATTTTTACTTCCTCCAAATGGCCTTCATCTAAATGTTTTAAAATTGACCTTCTTTTAGCTAAAAGAATAATTTTAGTAAATTTTCAGACGAGAAAGGAAAATCAAATAGTAAGATATTTGTGAAACGCCATAAAATTTGCAAAGATTCTATGAGAACGAACTGTTTCTTCTTGTGCAACTTTAACATCTGATATGTCATTGTGTATGGAAACTAATTAGAGATGGTGCATCTGGAGACAAGCAATAAGATGAATAATTTGTATAAAAATATCAATAAACATCAAATAATGATTCGGCTAACCTGCTCTTTCATTACTCCTTACTAAAGTATTTGAAACTGCCATGGATACACTAGCATTTTGCACTGACGAGTCTGTTCTATTTACACGACTGGCTGAAGAACCTAAACAAAAAGTTTACTTTCAGTTCAAGCTTCTCATTGAAAAGGTAACATGAAGACAATGGCAAACTTACCCTCTGTATCTTGAATGACTTCAAATTGCCCAGAACTCATGTTCATCGTTTCATCTTTTTCTAGTGGAACTCCCCCAGTGCTATAAGACGGTTTCGATTCCTCGGCAAAATCGATTTCCATCATTGAGCTTGAAACCGCGTTAGTTGCTCGACGTCCACACACTTCCACCTTCCCTTTGGAAGCCTTCTATGCAACCAATGAAATCAAACGTATATAGGATGCGCATAGAAAGCGATGAAAATAAAACAAAACAACTGCAAAACACTTACAGATGAGACTGATTCCCTGGTCTGACTAGGACTCATTGTAGATTGCAACATTGAAACTGTGGGAAAAACAACCCGAATTAAAAAAATCATAACAAAGATATCGCAAGGTTAGATTAGAGAATGTATAGTAAATAAATAGTTCCTTTACGAAAGCGCATGTCCCTGGAATAGTAATTTGTATCCAAGAGACTCTCTACTTAAACAAATTTTACCTAAATCCCAAATGTTCCCAAAATCTCCATTTGATGATATGGCCAAATAACTCATCAAGCATTACCTTTCCAGGGCGAAAACATCAAAATTCACAAAACGTTTAAAAGGTACATTATTCAATAAATAGACCTAAAGGGGCATACCAGATTCATCCGGTTTAGTTAAATTCATCGAAACCGCCTCCATTATGGAAGCATTATCCATCGCTAAGTTGGCCGACCCGACGTCTGAAGAAAGAAGCGAATTTAAGTTAGTTGCTAGAACATTTCATGTTGGAAGCCATGTAGCAACTTACGGGTAACCTCAGTCTTCGTTGCTGAAATGACGTCAGTGCTAGTCCGAACAGATGTACTTGACACTAGGAGAAGTGATGAATGATAAGATAAAATACGTCTTGTTTAGAGTCCTAATCATAGAATGACAGGGCATTTAACTATGTATTCCAAAGCAAGCTTCACCCAACCTCCATTCAAATGATACTTTAGGGTCTTCGACAGTGACAAAACTCACCAGTCGAATTTTCAATTCTACACAAGTCAGTATCAGTTACAGACTGTATTCATCAACAAGGATATCTTACAATGCCCTATTTTCAACCAGTATGCGATACGCATTCCCAAACTTTGCTTTGCTATTAACTTAATTTAATATAGCATTTCCAGAATCAATGCACTTACCAGACCTTGTTGTTCTTCGTGCGGAGCTTTGGCCAATAAGAACAGCAGTTTCAGATTTATTGGCTGTCATTGAAACTTCTTCCATTTCTTGGTCATGACAACTTTCTGTGTCTTGAGAAATAGTAGGAAATAAAAATGACGATCATATCATGAAATTCGAGGAGAATTTTGAAATATAAAATACACCGGACACGGACAGGCCTGTCTTATAATTTGTTTTGTAAAAAGAGGTGTTTATGAGATACGTTCCAAAAGTTGATTTCCATTTAGCTAGTAATTTGTGCATCCTCCCATCATTCAATAATCCATCACCTCTAATCAGCATGCTTTTCACTAACCTAGGCATCGTATATCCTAAAACGACAAATTCGTTCTGAGCAAGCGCTTTTTTTCAAGAAGCAGCTAAGTGAATGGGATAAGTCATACATTTGGCCCTAATCTCATTACGTTACACCAGGTGAGACAGCTTTATGAGGGCGGATTCTCTATTGACTAACCTAATGCTCCAGCCTATCGGCAATTTGGTAAATCACTAGGAAAAATATTAGCATTGAACATTTATTGCGACATTTACCTTGCATTTTACTCTTCTTGAGTACTTTATGCTTATTTTTGAGCAAAAGATTGGAACTTCGGCCATTATTAAAAGTCCCACGGGTAGTTCATAAGGAAACCTACCTTTACAGGCAGCTATGCATAGGAAATTCCCATTTCCCTCAAATTACCAACACCTCATCCTTTCGGCGGTACACACCAAAAACTAATCAACAATCGTCCACAACGCAATTATAGCAAAAGCAAAAACTTTCAACATTTTGAGCCAGTCAAGATGAAGTAACAGTTAAAATCAAAATATCTATCCTGCAAGGGAAAAGAATCATATGGACATCTCATACTGCTAAATGTAATGAGGACCTTACTCATTCTAATAAGAACGACTGATAGACATGCGCAACGAGGCTTAAATGATTGACAACTTACCAACTTGCACTGGGGTGACTGCATCTAAGGCCTCCGCAGAAATTTCTACTCGTTCCACTTTAGTAGCAATAGCACCATCTGTACCCTGCAGCTGATTGGCTTGAGCGGATGCTCCCGTGAAGTCAACCCGAATCAGAGAATCTATAGGTGCTCATATGAATTAGCAAAATCAAGTAATACCTCCAACACTAGTTCCAGCACGGCGACCACGAAGTCTAATCTTTCGCTTAGGTGCTTCTGAGATCTTAGTCACGGTTTCTTCAAGAGAAATCGTCTTTTCCATCAAAGAAAAGGGAACTGAAGGTATAAAACAAGAGCATGTGATACGTAAAGATAAAAAGAAACCGAAATTAAGACTATCATCATCACATACTTGTAGTGTCATCTTCCCTAACTTGATCATCTGTTTCAACGACGCAAGATTTCAATGGATCAATGTCCTGGCTAATGCCAGGAGCATCTTTGAAGTTATTCATGGTTGTTGACATAGAATCTAAAATATGATATGATATATATATATATATATATATATATATATATATAAATTCCCTTGACATAAAAGTGGATTGGAGATTATTTCATCAACATCCCTCCTCCCCGCCCCTCAAATCTCCCATTTATTCCACCAACTTTAGTCGTTCATGTGTCCCCCCACTTTTCTCGCTTATCAACAAATCTTAGTAGGTTAACAACCCCAAACTGCAACGACAAGGATGTACTGTCTGTCATATCATCTCCCCGCCCCCTTCAATTTCTATGGAAAAATTTAAAAAAGGAGATTGCGCCATAACAATTACTTTTTACAACAAGAACAAGAGTTTCAACTTGCCACGTTGGATGTTGTGGGAACGTTAAAAAGAAGCGTCAACATTTCTTAAAATACAACTGGCATGTACTAATGCAGCAGGTAACCAAAAGATACGCACAGCTTACCATCGTTAAGTGGCACAGTTCCATCAGCAGCGTTGGTAGAAAGTGCTACCTGTTCATTTACGGTAACCGGTTGAACAGGAATTGAAGATGACTGTCGTGGTTGACTTGTTTTAGCCGATACTCCTGCGAAGTCAACTTGAATCACAGAATCTACAGGAGAAAGCTCGTCAGAATAGAACGCTCAAGTACTACCTCCAACATTTTGTGTTCCACGGCGACCACGAAGAATAATCTTTCGGTTTGGTACTTTCGGGCTTTGGATCAAGGTCTCTTCAAGCGAAACTGCCGATTCCATTATAGAAAGAGGGACTGTGGATAGAAAATATGAGGGCTTTAATTAGTGAAATTCATGAATGAATCAGTAATATTACGTAAGCATACTCGTGACATCGTCTTTGCTACTTTGATCCTCCATCTGAATACTATGAGTTGCTGATGGAACATTAAGGCGGGCGGCGGAAGAAGCACTTGGGATGCTTTTCGAAATATCATGCGTAGAATCTAAAAAAATGTAAAATGTGTGCATTTAACATAACCAAGAGCAAGACATTGATATAATGCACCACGGAATTCGACCAAAGCTCATGAAATGACCGTGTAACTTTTAACCAGAGGTAACCAGCATTGTAAGAACATACTTTTGCCAAAACTTCCACCGTTAAGCAATAGTCATTAACGAATACTTGCAGTGTATTCGCCTACTTACTCATAGCAGCTCAAATACAGTGAGCCAACCATTCAACACTACTGCAGCAATCTATCGTACCACTCCATTGGTAGGAGGTTACCCAGCTAAGATGTCAGTAATCTACACGCATTTCATTTATTGAAACATTCTATACCCGTCTCCCAAAGAAGTCTGAAACATTACCCTTCTAGGTATGAAGTGAAGCCCAATTCGTTGGCAATTCAAATAACTAGATGAGTCTTGAATAACAAAAACAGAATACCGAAAAATATTTTTCTACTATGAAGAGGATAGTAAGAAATTAACAATGAATTAGCTCAAATGTTAAGACAATATCTAAGCATCATTTAACCGATAAATAAAATGCATTCTAGGTTCATATAAGGACGGCGATGGATAAGTAAATCGACTCATTTACCTTGAACGCTGTTTCCAATCCTATTTTGTTGAATCAACCAACGACTTAGTAAAATGAAGGCAATAAAATTAGCGTTGGAAATCACTCACTTCTGTAGTCATAAAAGCTCACAAAAAGGGGATACGAACATTAACTTAAAATGGATAACATTGAATGGGTAATAAGATTGCACACTCCCAAATGGACGCTTTATTCTAGAATTAAACTCTATCGAAAAGTGGTTTTAAATCCATGGAATGAAGTATGTAAATGAGCGCAAACATTTACTCGGGAAAATTAACGCAAAGTGCAAATTACGAGAGATGAACTTCATAAAGAACAAACCGCAACAACAGGTCTCAAATACTTCATGTCACGATCTTAGTCAAAGATATCCATGGAATAAAACCTGCGAATTGCAATGCGGTAAGAGGAGGGAAGAAATTTTACGGGCGCATTCAGTAACAATTTAAAAAGGCAGACCAAATAGGAACATTTGCAGAAATTTACCTTCATTGTGAGATTTTTCAAACGCCTCTAGGGTATCTTCTTGATTTTGAATCTCAGAAACAGTGTTATGAAGAACTGAGGTACCTTAAATTGTAAATAACGATTGAAATAATTGGAACCAATAAACAAATGGACATAGAATGAAAGAGGTTCTTACGATCTTGTGCATCATCATTACTGGTGTCCTTAGGATCTGTTGAAATTTCTCCTCTTCGAGTATTCTTACTAGATCTCCCACCTTGGAGTAAAAAAAGTTTCGCATACACACTTGATCGAAATGCACAAAATAAAGCTAAACAACAACGAAATGCCAATAAGAACAATGTAGTGCTTCTTTTAGAATTCCCAAAGTAAAACCAATTCAACATCTTTGTTTTATTCTCCTTGACGTTACAAATTGTCAGCTCGACTTATAATATGCATCTTGGAATGTAGTAATAATCGTACTACCTTGCTTTAATGGTGACCTATTGAGCACAAGCTAATTTAATCAACTAAACGGGAGGACAAATGTCAAAGGACGAGAAGCTCTCAATTGGACCTCTAGTGGGCCATAATCAAGAAAGGATCTCTCATGGGTGAAACGAATAACAGTACCCATTCTATTTCCCACTTTCTTGAATTCACTGAATTTAAACGTGAATTTAAATAATGGAAGAATTGGCAAACATGCTCATAAAAATAGACGCAATTGTAGCATAATGTACTAAAAATCATTTTCGAAAAAAATAGTAATTTGAAGAAAGAAAATGTTTAAATTACCCGAAGACAACGGTTGCCGACGCTGTTGGGATTTTGCGGCAGCACCAGCGAAATCGACATGCATCACGGAATCTAAAAGATGACTTATATTTAGTCAATTGGAACACATACCTCCGATGCTCTTTTGATAACCACGACGTCCACGCAAAGTCACTTTACGCCTGGGAGGCTTTGTGGGATGAATAGACGATTGCTCGACAGATTCAGCGGCTGAAATGAGTGAACAAAAGCTGGACTCTGCATATGCTTGTGGCGATTAAAACAAATGACATTCAACTAACTTTGTGTTAAAGTATGATTAGGAGGCGATAAATTTTCATTCGCAATGTCTAAAATGAATTTAAATACTTGCAGTGCTTATTAAGTAGTTGAACTCCATAACAGCTACAGACTCAAATAACACAGACAATCCATTAATAGTTCGCCTACAAAAAGTTGTATTGGAATGAATAAAAGCTATCTCTAGGTAGGTACAGATATAATAAACTCAAACTCGAGAAAAATTCATTTTGCGAGTAATAATTACTACTTCAAATCGAAAGTAGGATGCCTAAAAGCCTCGCCAACTAAAAAGAAAAGCGGATCGACATGAGCCCGAAACAGACCAATGAGACATATCCAACTACAGTCTTATACTGCTGTGATCAGGAAACTATCTGAAGCATTATATTACATATATCATAATAGTACTTTTAGTATGTAAAAGCAGAATCGGCAACTACTCCGAAAAAAAAGAACCAACCTTGTATCGTATCAGAAATCGATATCGTTGACCTACGAAGATGAGCAGAAGATTCCAAATCGCCTACTTTTGATGTTCTTGTTTCTTGAATAAACGGCCTGTTTTCCAATGCAGTAGACTCTTCGGCATGCTCTTGGGAATCTAAATTCGAAATAAAGGCAATATTAGCTCTCAATGAATTTGCTCAAATTTGCAGCTGATGTGTCAAGTAGAAAGCGATAGTTTCCCATACAAAAGTTCTTCCCTTTCATCCAATAATTCCACCCACCTTAATGCCCCATTATTTGCACGAATGTACTAACAAATAGAACGTGAATAGAGCTAATTATTCGACACCTTGAATACATACCACATCACAGTGAAGCTGGTACCGTTGAGCAAAGATACCGGTTAATAGCTGATTGTGGAAAGATCTATACGTAAATGTTCGCCTTGGGATAAAAATTTTCATGGGGAAAAACACTGGCACATATGCGGCAAAAAAGTCCATAAATCGGCAGTTGACTTCTGACTTCAAACTACCATGACCCGACTGCATGTCATATTCGGACCCTTCACAGTACTCACCTCACCTTTTCTCTGGCTTTTATGTCTGTCTGACTCTTTCACTTCTGTTAATCATTATTCTGCCCTCCTCTCGACCTTTTGTCACCCAGATATTCCTCCTCCTCTCTGTGAGGCCTGAAGTCAGCTAAAGGGCTAATGATAACTGTAAAACGCCTGCCATTTGAGCTAAATAAATTAATCGCGAATAATTGTCAAGTCTAGCGTCTATTCTACATGGATGAAGTGAAATCTGGAGTGGGCACGCTAGGCTTGATGCGCATTGTAAGTACGCAATTATCACCTCCATAATGGAAGACACGAACGACCCTGTTGCGTGCTCGCACCAGGTATACATTGGTCTTCAAAATGCCAAACTACCGTCAAGTAAGGGGAAAGCAAAATGATGACAGAACTGAAGATTCAATCGATTCAATTTAAAAGCCATCTTCCTGAAGAGATTAATTAAGACGAAGTACAATTGGTGTTGAAAATATGCTGAGCTTATTGCTGGAAGAAATTAAAATGAATAACCCCCAACTAACACTCGAATAAAAACAATAAAAATATATCAGAGACTGAATACTAAGCCCTACTTCAATGTCCTGGACTTAAAGGTAATATAGTCATCATTAACAACTTTATGAATAAATACCAAAAGCACAAACCTATAGTTGGCTTTTTCTCAATTGGATTTGCGACGCTCAATTCAAATGTGACGTTATTTCCTGATCCAAATGATTCAACCAGCGCCCGACGTGATCGAAGAGGCCTCTTTTTAATCTGACGAACACAAAGTATTAGTTTCAAAAATCCTGGCCGCAAAAAATGTAAGTATATGTAGTTGGCTTACATTTGGGTCAGGGGCAACGGAGACTGATTCTAAAAATAGAGAAATTAAAGTAGCGAAGAGCAGGTTGTCGTACAACATGGGCCCATTATTGCCTAAACACTTTTACAGAATCTTAAGCAATACTCAACCACATCACTACACTACTGTACGAATCAGACCAAGTTAGGGTTAGAAATGTAATCCTTATATAATTCATGATTTTCTTCGACTCACAAGACACATTAATCTTTAAAAATAAGGAAACTGAGTTCCACAGATAACGGGAATGGATTGCACTGACGCCAGAAGAGGTAAACAAAGTAGGAAATAAAACTTACGTTTTTTTCTACCAATAAAAACATCATCTAACAACCAGAACAGTGCCGACAAATTAGTCAACAATATGTGCTCAAGAGTGCTAAAAACTATTTGCTAGATTTAATTTTGCTGTTGGTATAATATAAACAGTATCCCCAAGACAGACCCAAGAGGTCATAGATTCTCCTACTGACTCATATGGGGACAGAAAGTCCATCAGCTGAAGAATAGACATAGCACCTTCGTTCAGTGAAGAATCAAGTTTGAAGTAAAACCAACAATGAGCGATTGAATCTATGAACCTTTTTATTAAACAGAGATTGAAATCATTTCATCTATCGGAGAGCAATCGCATCTACACCAGATTACTATGATACACTACCGACATACAATACGTGAAATAAAGACAAGTAATGAGAAACACCTACCATCGCTTGATTTTGATTTCATTATTGCAGAGGCAACGCTTAGGTCAAATGTTTCCTCATTTTCATCCATATTTGAAACAACTAGTGCCTTGCGTGCACGATGAGCTTTTGGTTTAATCTTCTGAAAAAAATAACAATTAATTGGTAAAAATAGAGACAATTGCTAATACTCACTTCTCCTTTCTTAGCAGCATTAGGCGGTGCTAAAAGAAAAAAGACTAGGATATTAAAATACAAAAATTTATAGACGATATTCAGTTAAAAATATCTCGAAGTTGGCCAAAGGATTAGTGAGAGCAACAGCACATTTGCCATCATTTAATTTTCCACGTCCAGCTTTTAACTAACAATAAACGCATATGTTATACTTACCTTGTCTCTTATATCTTTCCTAGTGAAAGTTATATTCCACAGCTTAATGGTTCGCATATCAGCATAAGATCAACCCCTCACAGTTTACCCAAGGAGTCTCGTGGGATATGTGAAATTGGATGGAACGTCCGTGAAAGGCGAGGATAGTGGTTATGAAGTGTTTAGAATGACAGGCACCATCATTCAAACCTTCTGGCTACTGTAATCCTAGAACTGTTCTGATCTTGTGCGTTGTGGCTAAGTAATCAAAATGTGGTCGTTGGTGTATACCCAGTAGTAAAGAATGGTTAACCGCACTGGTCAAGTGTGATTTTCTTAATAGAATGGCCTCAGGGGACACCAAAGTCAAGAGCTATAATGATTTTGGAAGGTATTCATCATCAGTTAGTAGAGGTGAAGGAACCGAAGGGGATATAGGGAAACCACTGCATCAGTCAGAAATGAGCGTATTATTCAAATTATTGCATTAAAAAAGCTATTTAAGCCTAAATGGCTTTCATCACAAGAATTTAGGAAGAGCTGATTTCAACATTAATAAAATTTAAAACACTAAGAGCTTGAATTGCACAATTAGAGATCATGAATATTATAACTTTGAGAGTAATTATCAATCATCAAAATCAACTTTAAATGACCAGAAAGATAGAAGCTGACCTTAAGTCATTTGAAATAGATACCAAGTATTAAATAGTTAAATGCGTAAGAAAGTATTGCAACAAGAATGACAATAAAATACCTTCATTCGGCTTCTGTCCGACGCTGAACTCAAATTGGGACTGATTCACTCCTTCAGTTGGCTCTTCCAATTTCCTTCCAGACCGAAGAACCCTTCGTTTACCCTTCAGTAGAAAGAAACTTAGCCAAAAATGTGCGAATACACATAAAAAGGTATTAGAAAGTAATCAGCTCACCACTTCATTAACCCCAGCGTCAAGTGACTCTAAAACAAAACATTATTACCATCAGTAATCTGAACGGAAACATTTTAAAACTTGTCAATGTTCAAAAACTGATTTTCTCTTAATATAACACACAAAGTTCGGGCACAATTTTCAGTCCAAGGGATAATGATGGTACAATTACAAATTTAGTGGTCCGTCGAAAGAGGAAGGGCGAAGTGTGTTCACAAACAGTTCTTCCGAAAACACCTAAGATAATTTTGCCTCCTATCTGCTCTACCTCAATTCCTCGTTCCACCAAACACAAATAGGAATGGCTCAGAATAAAAATTCATTTTCATAAAAAAGACTAAATAATGGTTGTGTAAGTCCCAAGTACGTTAATAAGCCAACAATCCAATCAGAGCCAGCATGTTCGCAAAAAATCAAACTAAATACAAATCAAAGCCTCATCATAAAAACACAGTTATATAACCAAATTAACCGAAAGTAAATATTAGAAGAGTAAAAGAATCATATCTCCAAACAGGATAATATCAATTAGGGGGTTAAAATGGAACCAAACGACCGATTAATGAAATAATAAATCGATAAAAAATAATAGACAAAGGAACAAACCCGAAACGACACTCTTGTTACCAACAAAAGAGGCTAAGCTCAACTCAAATGTGGTATTCGCTGCTGTGGACTGTTCTGAAGTATTAACAAGTTGGCGACGATGTCGAGGAACGATTTTCTTCGCCTTTGTTTGGGAATCAGCTTTTACCGCAGAATTAACTGGCAATGAGGAAGAGGTGACAAAAATGATAAATCGACGAAATATAATAAATAACTAAAATTTTTACCATCCTGATCATCATTGACATCAATAGCTGGGGCTACACTGAGCTCAAGAGTTTCATTATTTGTGATATCAAATGAGTTAACCAAATTACGTCGACAGCGAAGGCGTCCTGTGTTTTTCTGAAATAGTTAGCAATATAGGAGGATTGGAAAATGAAATCCGAAAAATAAACCTAAATGTAAAATTTACTCTAGATTTACGATTCTTCCTTTTAGTGTGTTGATTTCCTAAATCAAAACATTATAGAAAGAAATGTTTGAATATATTTGAATTCCGAATGCAAAGGTATGAAGCTTATAATATTACCACTATTTTCCGGTAATTCTCTATTAGTAGCATCTAATTCCACCGAGGTTTCGATTTCCTATATTTACAATAAATTTTAAAACTAAACATACTGCACTTGGGCGGGTGAATATTGATTCAGCACGATGGCTTGACCCAGCAGAATCACGTACTAAAAATGTTAAAAAATTATTTAAGTACCTTCTTCCAGTGTGCTCTCTTCCACAGTGGAATCTTCGCATATCCCATCAAAAATGCATTTTCTTGACATGATAATTAAAAACTACTCCCAATTGAATTGAATCAAGCGCTCTTGAAAGCAGAATTCTATACGCGATTGCGAAGAACCAAGGCTTACTTTTCGTTAAATACAGTGGTCTTCAAATAACTCGAAAAATATGTAAATAACTGAAATTTATTAAATTAGTATCAGTTGTTTCAGAAATTCATATTGTTATTACATACATTATTTCATGTTTCACTTTTGATCAAATTACATTCTTAAATATTTTTCAACACTCACATAGATATTTTTGCCAAATTAAATTTCATTTTTTGTGATTGTTTACACTATTAACGTAAAATGAGTCTCAAGAAAATTTATTTTTAATTTCCAACTTTCCTTTTTATAAAGATTTCTCTCCTATTACATTGTATTAATCATGCTTCCCAAGTGTAGATATCGATTCCTTTTACTAATATATCATGCACATATGTTAGTATTACATATCCAATTTCTGATATTAAGGCCAAACGGCAAAATATAACTATTTAAATAAATTATGTTGATATTTCAATACTACTGTATAAAAATTTTAAATGCAAAATAAATGAAAAAGTAGAACTCAAAGTAAGTGTGAGAGGAAAATTATTATGTTAACTTATAATTGAATGCGTGCAATTATAAGGCAATATATTGGAATCTCCGACATTATGAATTCAGTTGAAAG